GAGCCTCATCTTCCTCAGCACCTGCAGCTTTCAGCCTCAGCAGGAGAGGAAGAGCCCTGGAGGCAGGCTGATTGTGCAGCGGGGGGGCAGGGACTCACCCCACACCAAACATGGCTTCTGCGTGCTCGCCGATCCGGTCCAGGTTCATGGCTGCAGCTGGAGGGAGGGCAAAGGGACACCAAAGGGTTGGCCAACGTGGTCCCTGTGCATGGGCATCGACCCACAGGAACCAACCCGGCTCCCCGGCCCCTGCTCTGAGCATCCCCAATGGACACGGGACACCTCATCCCAGCTGCACAACCTCCAACCCTGAGCCACGCTCCCTGCCAGCAGCAGCTTCTGCTGGAGCTGTCACCTCCACCGCTTGTGTCCCCAGCCTGTGGGGTTTGGGGATTTGAAGGTGTACCAGGAGCAAAGTGGAAGAGTTACTTGTGGAGTCAAAGGCTGGAGCCGTCCCATCAGCTGCACTGTCCTGCATGGGGTAGACTTCCACAAACTCCTTCTTGAAGACAGAAAGCAGGTAGGAGATCCTGTAGTCCAGCCGCACGTTCAGGATGAACTGGCAGCAGCAAAGAAGAAGAAAGCAGAAGTGAGTGCCCTCTTCATGCCAGCTGTCTCTCTGTGTCAGAAACTCTGCCCCTCACCACCCCATCCCACAGGTCCCACCTGCATCTCCACAATGCTTCTCCCTCCCCACCAGCTCCAACCTGCAAGATCTTCAGGATCTTCAGCTTGGTCTCCATCACCACAATGTTCTCGTTCTCGACGCTCCTCTCTCTGTCCACTTGCTCTGGGGCAGAGCCAGCACTGAGGCTTGGAGGGCTGAAGATGGACTGCTTCCTGCTCAGCACCATGGTGGACATCATCTGCCCAACGCCCTGGATCGATCTCCGCACGTTCTTCCCTACGGAGGCAGCCACAGCGGGCAGGGTTAATGCAGATGGAAAGAGAGGTGGCAGAGGATGAATGGAAGGACCCATTTAGACTGGAAAAAAGCTGTAGATATTAATCAGAGAACGAGTAGGAGGGACTGGACATTTCTCTGGCATGGCCAAGGACTCAACGCCTCCTGTCTCCCAGTGCAGACCCAGCCAGAGCTTCCACATCAGCAAACCAGTGACTTGTCTTCTCACAGCTAAACTGGAAAGCACTGGGCAGACCATGGAAAACACCTTCCCGTAGGACCACGGCCACGTGTGGGGCAGGGACTCACCTGTCACCTCGTCGTTGTAGACTGCCTGCATCATCAGCTGGGGGTTCTGGACACAGTCAATGATGCCCAGCAGCGTCCGTGTCAGGCGCAGCAGCTCGCTGAAGCTGTAGAAGCCGAAGTAGATGAGGTTGTGGGCAAGGCTGACAACCTGGGGAAGGACAAGGCAACTCCAGACCTTGCTGTGCTCAAGGCTGAGCAGGACTCAGGTGGGGAGAGGGGTGCCAGAGGCCGTCACAGCCCAGCTGGGTGGCATCCTGCAGCGTGCCGGGGAGGTCGGCAGGTCCCTCACCTCGAAGGTGAGCTTGTTCTTCTCCTCGTTGGCGAAGGGCACCGCCTCGCTCACCACGTTGTTGAGGTAGTCCTCCACGAACTCCATGGTGCTGGCAAACTTGTTCTTCTTGTCATCGCGTGAGGCATTGAGGTTGGAGTCGTAGCTGCGAGGGGAGATGCTGGAGGTCAGCTGGATGGCAGCAGCTCTTCTCACAGCCAGCCTGGGAGGAGCACTGGGAGGCAGCTGCTGAGCCACCAGGGCCAGAAGTGATGCTCCTGACTGTGAGGGAGCCCACTTCCTTCTGAAGGCTGAGACCTGCCAAATCCACTCCACAAATGCCTCCCTCCCAGTCCCTGCTAAAGCCAAGTCCCTACACCGGATGGTAGCTGCCATCCCACCTCCTGCCCTGTCCCTCAAAGCCACCATGAGCCCCAACGTGTCTCACTCTTTGATCGTGATGGCCGTGGGGATCTCGGTCCAGAGCCGCGCAAACTTCACGGGCATCACCAGCTCCTGGGGGTCCCTGTCCACGTGCACGTGCAACATGAGGTGGCAGAAGGACGCCCGGAGATCGAAGGGCAGCATCTCATCTGCCATGCAGAGGAAGATCAGGTCCACACCCAGCTGCTGGGAGATCTCCTTGATGGCCAAGTACTGGCGATCCAGGCACATGCGGGCAAAGAGCTTCAGCTGGTACCTGGCCAGGGACGAGGGGGAAAGGGAGTGAGGCCATTCAACCCTTACACTCTCACCTGGGGAGAAGATGCTGCTGGATCATCACCTGTAGTAGCTGAGGACGTTCTCATCATGGGCGTTGCCAGCCCGGGCCTCCTGTGCCAGCTGCCGGATGCTTTTCTCATGGTGGTCGTTGTTCTTGTCCGTCCAGGTGAGCCAGACCTCCTCCTCAGAGTACTCAATGCTCAGGTACTCATGGGTCTGGGACATCTCCTTCACTGGCCTCAGCCTGGGGCAGAAGAGGAGTAAAGCTAGAGATGCTCCCATGGATGGGGAGTGGCTGCACCTCGAGGGGTGACAAGGGTTCCACCTCGAGGGAGATGATGGAAGGCAGGGCCAGGCACCAAGCCCTGATGGTGGAAAACTTCTCCCCTGGGCTACTCACTCGGTTTTGATGAGGATGTCGCTGTTCTTGGGGTCCAGCACGCACTTGCAGATCAGCTCCTGGGTGACGGGGATGGCGATGTGGTTGGACACACACAGGTCTGAGAGGTAGTCCAGAAACCTACAGAGCAGAGACAGCTCGCTGTGAAAGGGGGGCCCACAGGGGCTCCCTCCACCTCTGATGAAGGCACATCCCCTCCATAGAGTCACAGAATCATTAAGGTTGGGAAAGACCTCTAAGATCATCAAGCCCAACCATCACCCAACACTACCATGACCATTAAACCATGTGCCACATCTACATGTTTTTTGGGCCCCTTGAGGGATGGGGACTCCACCACCTCCCTGGGCAGCCTGCTCCAATGCCTCACTGACCATTCAGTCAAGAAAATCTTCCCAATATCCAATCAAAACCTCCCGTGGCACAACTTGAGGCTGCTTCCTCTCGTCCTATCCCTAGTAACCTGGGAGAAGAAACCACCTTCCACCTCACTCCAACCTCCTTGCAGGGACTTGTAGAGAACAATAAGTCACCCCTCACCCTCCTCTTCTCCAGACTAACCCCTCCAGGTCCCTCAGCCACTTGTCAGAAGCCACGTTCCCCAGACCTTGGACCAGCTTTGCCCACCGTGCAGCACCAAGCCCCTGGGGAAGGGCCCTTCCCGGGCACGCACCGTGGCTCGCGGTTCTTGCGCACCAGGCTGACGAAGGTCTCCACTTCTGTCTTGGTGATGTGCTTCTCCAGCAGCTTGCGGTTGTTGTGCAGCAGGGCGGTGATGGTGTCCTCGGCCAGGATGTCGTAGCCGATCTGGGACTGCATCATGCCGAACTGCTTGGCGATGTGCTCCTGCACGGGCAACAGGAGGGGTGAGCACACGGGGCCGCGTGTCAGGGTCTGCCCCACCGAGCCCTCGGCAGCCCCCCCCCGGGGCTCTGCAGCACGGGGTGGGGTGGGGGGTCCCCCCAGAGTCCCCACAAGCACCTGGTTCTTGCGGTAGTCCTCCTGGGAGTGCCGCAGCACGCGGTAGCACAGCCGGAACATGTACTGGTAGGGAGCGTTCTTCTGGTCAGACAGCTCTTCCAGCCTCACCAGGGGCCCTTCCCCGCCCTTGTCCTTGAAGGGGGCTTTCAGGATGCCAAAGATCTGCCCAGAAGAAGAGATTGCAAGAGTTGTGTCTCGCTCCACACCATCACGGCTGGACAGGAGCCATGCTTGCCAGGAGGGCTTGGTGCCCCGCTGGGGCATGAGCTGGAGACCAGCTACACCTCCTCCATGGGGCTTTCCAAATCCCTGGCCTCCAGCATGGCCCTGGGCAGAACAGGACATCTCTGCAGGACATCAGCCTTGCTCGGACACAGACCCTCAGGGCCACTCACCTGCTTTAGGATGTTCTGCTCCCGCATCAGCTTCTGCCGCTCCCGGTTGGGCTTGGTCACCACGATGTCCAGCACGTTCTGGCCATTGTTGGGGACATCACTGACGAAAAACACCAAGTCCTCCAGCAGCTGGATCACAAACCTGCAAAGATGCACAGTGCCAGAGGGGTGGTGGGGCTCTCCAGATGGTTGTGCCCCCCACCCACCTGGACTCGGGGCCCTGCAAGGATGCTGGTGCCTTTTGGAGGACCAAAGGGTCCATGTCCTAGGCTCAAAAGACTGCTAAGGAAGCTGCTGGCTGATCCTCCCTCCTTGTTAGAGGTTAATAGCTGCCCTGAAGCAGGAGGCTTTACAGCCCCCATGGAAACTGTACGTGCCAGGGTAAATGCCAGGGGCCTCTGCTCGTGATTCATGCTGGGGATTTTGCATTTAATGCCCCTGCCCCCTTAGTCACCTCCAGGGGACCACAGGCTGGCAGGGCGGAAGCTCTGTCCCACGGGGATCTCTGTTTGCTCAGGAAGCACCAAGAACCCACCCACCTAAAAATAATACCGTGACTAACCCTGCTGCCCCTATCGTGGGGCCATCTCTCAGCCCCTCAGATATTTTTCTAGCAGCAAAGGAGGGGCCGGAGCGGGGCTGAGCCGTTATCTGGTTTCCTCGCCAGGCTCCTGGGAGAAGCAGGCGTGGATTTGGGTTGTGGGCAGGAAAGCAAGACAGCGTTGGCACCAAGACCCAGGCAGGGGCCCCATACTGCGGCGATGCTGGAGAGCCCTTGGGGGAGCCCAGCACGGCCCCATCTCCCGAGGGGAATGACTTTTTACCTCCGGTCATTCTGGCTGAGAAAACCTTCGTTCATCTTCTCCACCACGTTGGCCAGCATCGAGCTGGCGTCGTTAGCAAAGTCCAGGTCCCGGATCTCAGACACGGGCACCGAGACGATGGCAAAAGCTTCTTTGTCTTCTTTGGTGGGGCACGTGCCCAGCTGGGAAGCAACGGGGAAAAAGCATCACACAGACAGGGCAACACTGAGCTCGTCCCCACCACCCACCCTGGGTGATGTCAGTGACCCAGCTCGTCTCCGTCAGAAGGACTGGGGTGGGCTTTAGGTCACTGGGATGGGCTCTAGGCTGATGTCCAGCCACCCACTTGGATCATGAGGGTATTTCAGGCTGGGTAAAGCCTGGGTGTGGGGTGGGAAAGAGCATGCTGAGAGCTATTGGGGCACAGGGGATAAATCCATCCATGGGACACGGGATTAATCCATCCATGGGGTACAGGAGATAAATCCATCCATGGGACACAGGATAAATCCATCCATGGGACAAAGGATAAATCCATCCATGGGACATAGGAGATAAATCCATCCATGGGGCACAGGGGATAAACCCACCCAAGGGGCACAGGAGATAAATCCATCCATGGGACATGGGATTAATCCATCCATGGGGTACAGGGGATAAACCCACCCATGGGGCACAGGATAAATCCATCCATGGGACATAGGAGATAAATCCATCCATGGGGCACAGGGGATAGATCCATCCATGGGGCACAGGGGATAAACCCACCCATGGGGCACAGGATAAATCCATCCATGGGGCACAGGAGATAAACCCATGCATGGGAGGAGGGAGTGGGGCCGTACCATGAGGCGAATGGGCCTCTCCTCATCGATGTCGATGGGCACGTTGGTGCTCTGGATCCAGGTGTTGGTGCAGAGGTGACGCAGCCTCACGTAGGAGTTCCTGCAAGTGGCACAACAGCCTGGTGAGAGCTCCCCCAGCAAAGCCCCCCGAGAACAACCCCCCCAAAACTCCTACACCGTGCACTGAACCCTCTTTTCTTTCAAGCCCCCCTCGGCACGGCGTGCCCACGTACCGTGGGACGAAGGAGTCTGTCTTCTGCAGGGTGGTGGGGTCCAGCTCGAAGAGGGAGGCGATGTCGTTGCCGTGGGGCACGGCCACCAGCCGGTACTTGATCTTCTCGCCGGTGTTCCTGCGGCTGGCACGGCTGCTGCCACCCTGCAGCAGGGAAGGCAGCTCTGAGCCCCGTGCCAGGCACCCCGCCGAGCCCAGCCCCCCTGCACACCCGGCTCCGGAGCAGGGGCACCAGCTACAAGCTTTCGCCAAGCCTCGAGCGGGCACGAGCTATGAGGCCACCCCTCCGACGATGCCAAAGAGCCAAAACCCCCTGGAAGTCCAAATCTCTACTACCCTGGGCATCCAACATGCACCAGGACCCCGGCGGGCACGTGGGGATGCTACTCTACAGCGTGGGGATGCTCTGCTGGGCAGCCCCCAGCCACAACCTGGGCCCAGCAGGACTGGGTGGCACAGGGTGGGTGCCAGCCCTGCAGCGGGCTCTGTTTTGGGGCATTTCCCTGCTTTCAGGCAGTTTAAGAGCCGGAGTGATTGCAGGCAGCAGCAGCGGTTCTGCGAGCGAGGCTGCACACAGCTCACCGTGGGCACTGCTTTGGGCTCAGCCACGTCTCCTTTATAACTTGGGTTTTCCTGAAAAGTTAAAGAGGGAGATGAAAGACAGCTATGAGTCCTCCCACTCGGCCCCTCCGAGCCCCAGAGGGTGTCAGCTCTAGTCCTGCCTTCTTGGAGCACTTCTCTGAGAGAGGAAACCTGCCCAGCTGGAGCTGGGGACCCAAAGCCAGTGCCCAGCTCTCCAGCCCTGAGGAGCAGGATGGGGTGAGCCCCAGTGAGCAGATTCGGGGCTCTGGGGTGCAGCAAGATGAGCTCTTGCTGTACATCCCTCAAGGTCCCAGGCTGAGGTCTCAGTGACCAGCACAAGGCTGGGATGGGGATCATTTTGTAATCTTCTTTCCTCTGCAGAAAACGCCACCTGAGTGTCTTTTGGTCTAAAGCAGCTGTTTCAGAGGGACTTGGTGTTTTCCATCCTGCAGTGGTGGAAGGGGCCCTGGGGGCTGCCTTTGGTTGTCTTCTCCAGCTAGGGAGCACCTTTGGCACATGGTGCATCACGATTCCCCACGGTGCATCCCTGCTCCCCTGGCAGCAGAGCGCAACACTGTCCTTCCCTTGGTCCTGGCAGCTCATTTGTGTCATATAAATCACATTATCTAAGTGTGGAAACATCTTTGTGCCTCTATCAGGAGGCCTTGACCCAGCCTTAAATAGGAGCAAAAAATAATTAGCAAATTATATTCCCAGTCTCCGATTTTGCTCACATCCTTCCAAAGCAAGGACAGTCCTGGATGCTGCTGTGGACCAGAGGATGAGGCAAAACCTGATCAGGAAGAGTTAAATGGAGCAGGATGAATTCTCTCCTGCTTCTGTTGCACCAGGAGGTTGTGCCAGCACAGCCCTTGGCTGGGAGTGAGCAAATAAAGGAAAACCCTGGCCACCCACTCCTGCCACCCCGGGCCAGAAGAGGAGGGAGCTGAGAACCAGTTTTGGCAAGTGAACCCCTGCACTGTGAGGTGAGGGACTTTGAGGGGGTGGGGGGAGGGGAAGCTCAGCCCTGCAAACGGGCAAACGATGATGATGCCCACAGCCCTGGTGAGGCTCACAGCCCTGATGCCAATGCCTTGGAGCCGTGGAGATCCAGGGCAGGACGGCTCCAAAAGCAACCTGGGGCCAAGGCCATCCTGGGCATCGCCGCTCTGGCGAAGGGTGGGTGGGCACTGCCCTGGCAAGGATGGCACCAGCCTCTCGCCCAAGGGCAGGGCAGGTCTCTGCCTCCCTCTGCTGCCTCCTTACCTCTGCTGCCAGGTAGTTGCCCGTGGCGAGGTGCTTGAAGCGGTACAAGCCGTTCCAGTGCCCGGCTCCCCCTCGGCACGGGTCGTGGTGGACCACCTGGGAGGAGCAGAGGAGGGCTCAGCTGGTGGCACGCAGGGCTGGGTGGAACTGAGACGCTGCCTCTGAGCCTCCACTGACCCCGGGCAAACGTGCTGGTGATAAGAGCTCCAGCCTCTCTCAAAGGCACCCGCGAGCAAACACGCTCGGGGCACAGAGCTCAGGCAAACACCGGTGCCCATCCACCAGCAGCCAGAGTTCCCAGTGCCCTCCTGGAGCTCCAGCCTTTTGCTGGCTTTCACCAGGGCAGTCAGGCTACCAGAAACAGAAATGCATTAAAATAACCACCTCTCCCAGCAAACCCCCTCCAGTGAAAGCACAGCAACCCACAGAGGTACCCCAAAAGCCCGTGGACACGTGCTCCAACCCCCCCTGCTCACCTCCACCTCCCACAGGGCGTTGGAGCTGGTGGCAGAGGTGGCCGACTGCCTGAGGGTGGTGCGGAGGAAGACGTGCAGCTTGCCTTTGTACTCATCACAGGTGAGAAACTTCTCCTGCTCGGCGTGGAAGAGCCTCACCACGTCCCCCTGCACCAGGACAGGATGGTGAGACCCGAAGATGGGGCTCTCCTTTGAGCTGACATAGCTCCTCCTGTGACCGCCCATCCTTCAAGGGGATGGGATCCCCCTCTGGACGTGGTCCAGAGCTGAGCACAGCTCCCAGCCATGGCACGGCAGCACCGTGGGAGCCTGGGCATTGCACCATCACCCTTTCCAGTCCTACCTACCTGAGCTGTGCTAAGCCCTGTCTCTACCTGCAGAAAAGCTCCTCTGAACCCAGGGAAGGGCACAGGCACCTCGCACCCCCCAGTGCCATCCCTCTGATGACTCACACAACTCTCTGCTTCACCCCAAAATGGGTGCAAACCCACCATTTGACACCCCTGGAGAGGGCAGAGGCTCCTCTCCCCAACGTGTTTAAGGCACTAAGGGAGGAGGATGCAGGGGATGGGGGAAGCCAGGGATGTGCGGCGCCCGGGGACCAGGGTCTGTAAGATCATAACAATCAATATCCAGCCAGCTGCTTCCTGGAGGAGCTCAGCCCTGAACAATAGCTCCACAGGGAAAGTTCCTTTCCCAGGCAACAGCCAGCCCTGCTGCACAGCTGAACAGCCAAAAATTGTCCTCACAGCTAGGAGCCACTGCTGGCACTATGTGTGCCTCGTATTGTCCTCGAGAGCCAATTTAATACAATAAGGTGGAGGGTAATTTCATGACCCCCTGAGTACCTGCTGCCAGAAGATACTAAAATAGCCTGCTCTAGCTTGCTGTTAAGTGATGAATTCTCCTAAAAATTAAGGTCCTAAAGGCAGGATCTCTTTCCCCTGCCCCTGTCACAGAGCCAAATGGCTGTTCACACGTCCTGCTCCTGCAGGAGACCAGAGCCAGGTCCCCAGAGCCCACTGTGTCCTGGGCAGCTGGTGATGGTGGCCAAACCTCCTTCCTTACCCCTTTCAGCACTTCCTCCATGTGGTCACAGAACTGCATGAAAAGGTTGATTTTCCAGCTGGTGTTACAATTGACCGAGTTCACCTAAGGAGCAAGAGAGCAAGGTCATGATCCCTAGGAGAAGCTAAAAAGAAAACAGAAAAAGGAAAAAAAAAACAAGGAATCCTCAGAAGGCAGAGCCTGCAGAGGCAGCCCAGCCCCTCGTACCTCCTTGCAGCCAGCGTTGTCTGCAAGCTCATAGTTGCTGGCGTGCAGCGGCTGCCCGGCGTTGACAGGGTTCAGGATGACTTTGTCTCCCACGACTACCTGGGGAGCACAACGGGAAAGGGGGAGCAAGGATGAGACCAAGTCCCCAGCAGAGAGATAAACCCTGGCAGGTGAGGCACACACCGTGCTTTCTGCACACCCCCAGGTAGAGGTTTTTTGGCCCCACGCTCACATTGTCTCCGTTGCTCCTCAGCTTCCAGAAGGGCTGGATGAAGAGCCAGGACCCCTCGTTGCCGGTGGCATCCAGCGTCACCCGCATGGCGTTCTTCTCCAGCAGGGCTGGCAGCCTCTTGTTCACCGTCAGGTACTTGTTGCTCTTCATGTGGAGGAGCTGGAAGAGCAAATGCTGGTGTGAGCTGTGGTGTCACACCCCCTCCCCGAGGTCCCCAGGTCTGTCCCTCCCCGCAGTGAGTGCCCGTACCTGGATGACGCTGCCGTACTTCACCACGTCCCCGTGCACTTTCTTGTTCTCTGTCTCGTTCTGCTTCTGCTCCATCTGGGCTGCATGCTGGACACCAAGAGAAGAGCTCAGTGTAGGAGCCCCAGAGGGGCCACCTGCACGCTGAGCCATAGGGAGGATGGGACAGGTTGGGATGCAGCGTCAGTATCCCTCTGTCCCCCTGATAACGTGGGACAGAGTGACAATGTAGATTGTTTTGGGTTGGCTTTTAAAGGTCACCTACTCCAACCCCCCTGCCCTGAGCAGGGACATCCCCAGCTAGAGCAGGGTGCTCAGAGCCCCGGCCAACCTCCCCTGGGATGGTTCCAGGGATGGGGCAGCGACCACCTCTCTGGGCAGCCTGGGCCAGGGGCTCAACACCCTCAGCATCAAATATTTCTTCCTTCTCTCCAGTCTAAATCCCCCTCTTTTAGTTTCAAACCATCCCCCCTTGTCCTGTCCCAACAGGCCCTGCTCAAAAGTCTGTGGTCCCAACAGGCCCGGCTCAAAAGTCTGTCCCCAGCTTTCTTATAGGTCCCCTTTAACTCTGGAAAAGCCACAATAAGGTCTCCTCAGAAATACAGTCCCCAGAGTCTGAGAGCTCAGCCCAGGACCATGGTGTGACTCTGAGCAGCCATACGAAGTCCATGCAAGCTTTAAACTTCAATATTAGGGGAGGGACAAAATGGCACCAAAACACCCCCCAATTGCTGGCAGGTCTTACGGGGCAGCACCAAAAGCCCCACAGCATGACCAAGGAGCAAACACCACCAGAGCTGCCACCCCCAGAGGGGCTGCGGGTCCAGACCTGCTGCGGAGGGGGCAGGATGGGTCCCCCCCGCGCCAGACGCCCCACGAGTGGATCACTCAGCACCCCTTGCAGCCCCTCTCTCCAAAACCACAGACATTTTCCATGCGGTGGCTCGGGCAGCTGGAGGGCTGTCGACACACGTGGAGCAAGGCAGGGACTTGCTCCCACAGTGGCTCAGTCTGTGAATGGTGAGGGTGCGCCGACGGCCCCGGCGCCAGCCTGGGCGCAGCCCGGGCAGTGCCAGCCCCACATTCCCCATCAGCTGGGATGGGAACCAGTGGTGAGGGATGGGGCCGGGAAAGCATCTACCCTTTTCCATCCTGCTTTCGCCACCTTTCACTTGAGAGCAGAAGGAATTGGGAGGCACCTCCGGAATTCTGGCTTTGCACAGGGGGAACAGGGCACACGGTCCGTCAGTGCCCGAGCTGAGGACACCGGGGCTCTGAACACATCTGGCACATGTTGTGACAGCACAATCTTGTGAAGGTTGTCACCACTTTAATTAACTTTCCTTCCCCACACAGCTCCGGGTGCCGCCTGAGGATGTGAGCCCCGTGGTGGAGGCTGCTGTAGGAAAACAAGCCTGCTGCCAAGAAATCCTGCGCTGATGCGGAGCTGGGAGTTCAACAACAAGCCCATGGAGCAACAGCGAGAGCTCCGGCACCACGGCGTGTCCTAAATCTGCGTCCAGATCTGAGCTCCTCCCTTGCTGAAAGCCAACAAGGCTGGGACTGGGAACCAGCTCCCCCAAGCACGCAAGCCCGCAGCAGGTGGTGGTCCCTTAGATGGGACAGGATCTGTCCCCAGGGCACGGCAGGGTGGGATGTGAGGGATGCAGCCTGGGGGATGCAGGAGGGATGGGGAGACATCAGCAGAGCGGGAGGAAAGCCTCCATGGCACGTCTGCACTGCGTCTGTCTGCACCTTCCATTAGTCAGCCAAGGAAACACCGAGCCTTACACCCACTGACAAAGAACAGTGCAAGAGCAGAGGCTCAGGAAGGCAGCCATGGGCATCCTGTGCGTGGGCATCCCGGGCAGGGTTCCTCCACTCAAGACCCTGGTTGCTGCTGCTACCAGAAATTAGCTATGTGGGCTGAAAGACATTTTCAGCCTGTGGGAGATGCTGATAAATCACAGCCCAGAGTCCCTCCAGGATGTCCAGGGGCTCTGAGGGGAGCTGGGCAGTGCTTTGCAGAGAGCTCCCTCCCTGCCCGGGCTCCCCCAGCGCTCAGCTCCGGACGGGAAGGAGCTTTTGCCAAAAGGGCAACACCGGGAGCAGCGGAAAGGAGCAAGGAAGTGACAGAATCTCTTTAAGACAACTCTTGACCAAGTCGCAATCAATCAGGCTCAGAAATGAGCCTCTCTGTCCAGTCGTGGCCAGTACAGCTGTTGAAATTGTGAGTTACAGTCTAACCAGAGTGGGAAAACAGCGTTTCCATAGGCCAGCAACCCCCTACGGCTGGAGCTGGCGGGAGGCTCCAACCCTGTCCTGGCACCTCCACACAAATCCAGGACCCCCTGTCCAGGCACCGACCAGACCCCAGGGCAAAACGGGGGGACTGGTGGGGCTGGGCCTGAAGCTGGATGAGCTGATTTAATGACTCTCTCCTGAGCTTTGGGTTTATGAATCATCCCCGGGGCCTCGCCAGCTGTCTGAGGTGATTATGCAATGTTTAACATGGGCCCTTTCCAAACCTCATGGAAGTCAACAGGAGCCTTTCTCTTCCATGGCCCTCTGGAGCAAATCCTGCTCACAGCAGGTCCCTCCTCCGTGCCAGGCACCCCTGGGTACTGTGCTCACAGAACACCTCTGCCTGCTCTGCATCAGAAGCACCAGAAGGGCTGAGATAGCAAAGTCTGGGCATGGTGGAAATGGTGGCAAGGCAGGTGAACATCACCTCTCATCCCAAAAGCAGCACTGCTGCCCTCCCTTCCTCCCTCTGCCTGCTCAGTCCCCTGGATCCTTCTCTGCAGGTCTCCCCTGGGACATCCCCCTTGCACTGGGAGTGACAAAATCATCCGTGCTCCCTGGTCACTGCTCTATTCACCCCTTGCTGTCACAGTGTGGAGAGTGTGGCCATGCCACGCTGCCCAGGGCTCCCCACAGTGCCAGGGGCACGTGTGCAGGAGTGGCCTGAAAGCCAAGGAGCCATCAGGAGCCCAAGGCAGGATCCAAGGTTCAAGTGCCTCTCACATCCAAGGCTGGGTAAGAGCATCACATGGGAGGGGTGACCTGGGGTGCAGCATCTATCCCTGGGGGCTTGTCCATGCTGGGAGCACAGCCCTCAGTCCTGCAGGGGCCAGTGCAAAGCACCTCACAGAGCTCCCGTCTCAGCCCCCTTGATTATTTACTCCAAGATTAATTAAGACCAGCCACAATGGCTGCAGGAGCTGTTCCTCTAGAAAAGGAGACAACAGAGCTGAGCAGAGGGACACCCTGAGGACAGCAAACCCCAGGGTAGGTCCTGGCCTCCACACAAGCTGTTTTCTGGGAAGCAAAACACACCAGGATTTGCATGGGAAGAAGCCTGGATGTTATCACCCAACCAGCCATGGGGACTGTCCACACTCCTGCTCACCTGGAGCTTCTGCAGCAGCACCACATCCGCGATCTTCTCCTTGTCCTGCTTGGTTTGCTTGGCCTTCCAGTACTGCTTCTGGGCAGAGTAACGGTTCATGGGACATACTTTGAAGAGGCAATCTGGGAGGAGAAGGTGGCAAGCGTGAGGCTGCAGCACCCACACAGTCCCCAGTGGGGCAAACATCACCGAGTGCTCCTCCAGGACACGGCTCCTGTCCCAGAAACATCCCTGGGAGATTGTCCTCCAAGCCCACCACGTCCCCCTCCACTGCTGGGGGTCTGAGGGAGACATGGCTGGGATGGCTGGAGGGTCACCTTGTGTTGAGCTGGTGGCTCAGTTTCAAATCGGGGTAAATGATGAGTCCAGGAGTGACTCCACTTCTTGGACTCGTGATCAGAAATATTCCCATCGGAAAGGGCCGTGCAATTTGGGAAGGAAAATATCAAGGGGGAGCAAAAGTACTGACAAAGGCCAGCTGGACCAAAGGAGAGGATGGGGAAGGAGGGAGGAGAGGAGAGAGGGAAGGAGGGAGAGAAGGAGGGAGGGAAGAAGAGAAGTGGCAGGACACAAGCAGACATCTCCACATCTCCCTTGTCCCCCTACCCCCTGGACATCCTGAGCCTGCAGGACCACAGGCTGCTCCTGGTGCTGGAGCTCCTACCATCCCTATGTCAACAGCTGGATTTCAAGTCTGACAAGAAACACTTTGGAGACCTGAAGGGCAGAGGTTTGCATCCCAACTCCTCCAAACATGTGCAGTGTATCCGTGCTCTGCAGCTTGCCCCCGTTTGGCTGTTTTTCCCCAGGCTGCCGTGGCTGGGACGGGGGGTGATGGAAAGCACAGACCCCGAGGCCCAGACTTGGGGAACTGAAGCACAAGAGCAGATGTCTGGAGACCAGGAGGCACTTCCATCTCCCAAACCCAGCTCAGGGCTGGAAGCTGGATGGAGCGAGGGCAGGAAGGGCTCTGAATCGCCCTAATTACGCCTGAAATAGCAGCCCAGAAACTTCAGACACAAAAAGAATCACTTCCATCTCTGGCCTCGGTCCCGAGTCGCTGGCAAGCACGTATTTATTTACCTGGGAGTGACGAACAAACAAGTGCAGAGCACAGTTCTCACCGGCTCGGGCTGCTGGGAAGGGGCCAAGTTTCACATTTGGGTTTGGAGGTTTATTTGCTAATGGCATCTCCTGTGCCAAGGGGACCGTGAGGGTGCTGGGGACTGGCTGCCTGCTCCCCCTGCCTCCCAGCAGGGCTGGGGAACACTCCAGCCCCTTAAATCCTTTTCCTTAAATCGCTAATTAGGCTGTGAAAGGAGCTGGTACAAAGCAGAAACTGTACTGGGGGTGGGAGTTAAAAAATCCAGCTACTAAGAGAGGTACAAATCCAACCCCTGGCTCCAAGCACGCCCTGCCTGGAGGGGCTGCCTGATGTCCCTGTCTCAGTCCTAAGCCTTGTTTTGCAAGGAGGGAAACTGAGGCACAGAGTCATTTGCACACAGAAAGTCACTGGTAAAGCTGCTGTTGGAAGCTGGAGATTTTGGCACCCGGGCACAAGCACTGACCATTTTTTTGCAAGCCATATGGTGGGTGGAGAAGAGGGAAACTGAGGCAAGCTCACAGCAAGAGCTGGCTGTGAGATCTGGCACGACCTGGCGTGGTCAGGGAGGGAGAACCCCCCGCAGCCCCATGGGGCAGGGGGGCACAGGGCATTCAGGGCAGCAGGTGTGGGGGGCTCGGTGCCCTCAGAGCTCAGCACAGGGGGAAGCTCCTGATTTGCCCTTTCCCTGACGTGCCCGACCGTGGGGCTGGGAAGAGCCTTGGGGGGGGAAGAAAAGCTGCAAAGAAAAGCAAATAACCGCGGTGCCAGGAGCCTCTCGGGGGGCTGAGCTGCAGGGATGGGCTCCCAGCTGGCTTTGGGCATTTCCAAAAATCCCTTTGGATCCGACCCAGGGAGGAGGGTCCTGTTTACCCCCAGGGAAGCCGGGCTGAGCCCCGGGATGACCCATGGGTGCCTCAGCACAGTGCAGGATAGGGCAGGGTCTGGTCACAGGATACGGGGACGGCAACAGCACATGAAAATCCTCTCGAGCCTCTCACTGCTGCTGCAGGGCACGGCCACAGCCCCTTGTGCTGCCCTCCCTCCTGGTGATAGCTATCGAGAGGGCAGACCGCTGCTTTTCCGGCCATTAAAACAAGCAGCTGGATCTCCTGATAGGGTTTGCGTGGAGCAGGGCTGAGTCCAGACCAGAAAAGAGATTGGACACCCACCCACGTCAAGGCAGGGAGATGGTGTGGCTGCTGGGATGAGGCTTGCCCTGGCCACCCCACGGCTGCTTCCAGCTCTTCCCACCTAGCCCCAGGTGAAGGTGCACTGGTGTTTGGGAACAGCACAGCTCTCCAGGCCAGGGGGTTGTTGGTTGGCTCGTTAATCAGCCCCGTGGACTAATTAGTGGCAATGGCTCCCATGGAGAGGCAGGTTGCTGCTCGGTTGGAGCCCCCGTGGGAAAGGGTGCCCAGAGCAGAAGGGTGCAGAAGGGTGGTAGAAGCACAAAGCAGAGTGGGGAACCAATATTTAAAAGGATTTTTTTTTAAAAACAGGGAGCCTCAAATTACAGTAGCTGGGATGAAAGGAATGGCTGCCCTAAACCAGTCCTTAACCCCAGCAACACCAGCACTGCCCTGGGGAGATTTCACAGCCCTGTGGACACTCCCCAGCTACATGCTCTGGGCATCAGGCACTCAGACCCAGCCAGGACACTCTTGGGGACACCACCTGCAGAGCCTGAAGGTTGAAGCCACCTCACCAACCAGCTCCAGGGCTTCCAAACTGGGGAAGCGGGAGGCACGAGCTGCTTTTCCCAGCGGCCCTCCCTGGCTTCTCCAGACCGTTTCCACAAGCCAGGAGCCACCCCAGCTCCCACTGACTCATCCCCTTTCCGCCTGGACCTGGCCGTGGCTGCCTGCTCCTGCCTGGGGCTGCCCCTTGCCCAGATGGGAAACAATGAGCCCCGAGTGCTGGAGGAGACGACACAGCCCAAAACTTGACAGCTCGGGATTTACTGTCTCTCCCTAAGCCCTGCCTGCCTCGTAAATGGGTGGCTTAATCCCCTGGCTCTCTCTGAGGTGCAGCCAAGTGCAGCAGTTGTAATTAGTGCTCAGTGCTAACAGGCTCAACTTGAAATCGTTTGCTTGTTGCAACTGCCCCCGTGTCTGTCCCCTCCTGTCCCTGGCTCCTGGTCGGTAGACACCCAGCTGCCAGCATCCCTAGGGATGTATTTTGGGATGGTCTGACCCAGCTTTAGCAGAGGATGGTTCCCAGCCACCCCTGCTCCTTAGGGCTGGGCTAAGAGGTCCCAAGGACCGTCCCACCATGGAGACAGCTCCAATAAATGCCCCCAGAGGCAAAGAGAGAAGGGTAAGTGGTTTGGCCAAGCCACAGAAACAAGGCTATGGAAGCTGTCCGAGATCCACCCCAGCTCCTCTGTGAAGGAGCAGCAGCACCTCCCAGCCCCAGGTGAGCAGGGAGAGCTGGGACCCCAGTCCCCACCCCTGGCATGGGTGCTGGGGGCCAGGATCACACCCAGGCTGCTCACTGCAGGGATGGAGCCACCTCAGTCCTGGCCCAGTCTCACCTCGAAACTTCTTGGGCGGGTTGTCCAGGTCACCAGCAGCCGGCTCCACCACGCACCGATCATCCACCAGCCTGTGCAGGGCCAAAAAAGCAGGAGCAAGGTGTCAGCAAGAAGAAGACAGCAGGGGCCAAGCAAGCACAGCGGCTTCGCCACAAACCACAGCCCGGTGCCACCATCACCTGGCCCAAAGACAGCATCAAAAGCTGCATCTCCTGTTTCCCACCCATTTGCACTCTATAAATATTTAGCACGACAACACTCAGCTCCTGCAGCAAGCAGCTGCTCCTGGGCTCTTGCCTCAAACACGTCGTCCCTTGTTTGCCACCACCCATCGTTTCTTTCTGGTGTTTTTTGATCCCAGTCCCTTGGGGCAAAAAAAGTGGGATAGAAATTTGCACCAAGGAACACAAAACTTCATGTCAGCCATGGTCTCAGGCCCTTTGCTCAGCACCCTGTGCAGGAGGCTGGCACCCATGTCCTGTCGGAGCAAATCCTGCCTTGTCCAGCTCCCATCTGAGCCGGATTCACCCCCTGCACCGTGCACTGGCTGTGGTGTTATTTCACAGCTATTTCACAGATAATCTGGCAGAAAAAGTGATGGGTTCAACTTCCATTCAATGGTTCTCCTTCCCAAGCTGGGAGCTCACCCCACGGGCACAAGGAGGGTGTAGCTGCTGCAGATGGAGGTGGCAGGGCCCCCTAAAACCAGTTATTAATTATTATCTGATCAAAAGTGCTGCCTCTGCCCATCAGATGCAAAGGGCTGTGTCTCCTCCCTGCCCACCTCTTTGTTTTCCTAACACTGAGCAAACTCCTGCAGGCTTGGCCTTGGGTGCTGAGGACCAGTTTGAGGACGGATGGGACGTTGCTTCTCCAGGTTACTGAGAACAGCAAAGCCTAACCCAGCACGAGGTCCTGCTCAGCACCCAGGGCACAGAAGGACCAGCATCGCCCGAGGGACTCCGGCACCGGGGGCCACCCGGAGCTCGTCTGCACAGCCCGTGAGGCTTTCAAGGGAACTGGGTGCTCCAGCAAGACAGGCTGCACCCGCTCGCCCGCTTTCTGCCAGCCCTGGGAAGAGACACAGGGGGAGGAACAACCCTCCTGCCCCGGGCGAGGAAGTGGGGAGCGTGTCCCCACCTGCGGAGGCTGAATTCCCGGGAGGTT